CTTGCCGCCATCAACGGCGTCCCGTTCCACGGACTCCGATGGAACAAGTCGATCGAGCTTCTCGAAACGACACCACGACCGTATGCGCTCACCTTTCTGCATTCGCTTTCCTCGCCGCTGTTTGCGCCAGCGAAGCGCGAGCCGCCTTCGTACGTAGCTGTCGTTGAGCGCGGCGTGCAGTTTGCCGACGCAGCCATGTACGGTATTAACGGCGCTGTTGTCCACCACCTCGCATGCGAGGCCAAGGCCGGCGGGATCCTCGCAACCGGCGATGTCCTCTACAAGGTGGGCGAGACCAATGTGCTCTTCCGGCCGTATTCAGTGGTCATGGGCATCGTTGCCAAGGCTGCCCAACCGTGCGTGCTGCAACTTATCCCTCACGCCTTGGTCGCCGACGTAGTACGCTCGACGCTGCTGGCGAGAGCACCTGTGCGACTGGCCAATTTGAACAGCAGCGTGGCGCCCGAGGTGGTTTCCAACCCAGCTTTGGACCACGCCTTGACTCGCAAGATTCATGGCTCACTCAGGGAAGGCCAGCTCTATCGCCAAGGGGTCCTCTTCAAGTTTTGGCACGCGCGCTACTTTGTTTTGACACCGACGGCGCTCCTGTACTATGCCAGTCCACGGTCGCCGGCGCCGCGCCGGGAGCTCACGTTTGCTGGTCGTCGCTGCAGCGTCCAGAGCCTGCGCGCAACGAAGAAATTTGGCTCCGTGGCTGTCGTGCACCTCTTGCGCGTCTGCGTCGACCACAAGCACATCGTGCTCGCGTGTGCCACTGAGAGTGACAAGACAGCGTGGCTGACGGCCCTCCAGCAGGCGATGACGCAATCGCTCCCGTCGGCGCCGTCGCACGTGATGGCGGCCGCGTAGACAGCGCTGCAGCAGTGCCATCCTCGACCTGTTTTTGCCCACGCTCCAATTCACACTTCCATCGCTGCCCACACAGTCGCTTCGCAGGCGCCGCTTGTCGTTCCCAGAGAAAATGCAACAGAGTATCGCGGTTAGGGTAGTTACATTCAAGCTTACAAATGACGAGCATTAATCGTATACCATCCATCAAGCACACTCTTTCGACGTGCTTCGATCGACCGCCACGGCCTTTTGCTATCGTCGTCCAGCGTCTCGCTGGGTGTTTGTGTTGAACCGTTTGTGTTGAACCTTTGCAGGAGACGATGCCACGTCATTGTGATCCTGGATCGCAGGTCGAGCTGAGTCAGACGTTGGCAAACCGATACAACCTTGACGACTTGCATGTGCCCAGGATCGAGTTCACGTGCGGTGAGGTACGTGTGAATTAGGACTATGCCACAGCAAAAAAAGGGAATCGCCAACAGCTCAGTGCACACAGAAAGCATGACGCGAGACGACGAGCTCGGCAGTCGCTCAACTTCTCTACTATTGCGCTGAGCTCGATACAGCTACTCTTCGTAGGCAAAGACGACCAGACCTTTGTGACCAGTCGACTTGGCGTCCCAGTAGTTGTACGTCCGACGCTGATGAGTGAGATCAACGTCGCGCGCGATATACTCGAGCGTAACGTTGTCGGCGGCCAGCGTCTTGATGTTGCGCGCACGGTCGGGCTTGGGCCACGACACCTTTTCAAGACAGAGCCAGCGCAGCGAATACAGCGCAACAGCGATAGTCTTGACAAGTCGCACGAGGTCCTTAGAAGGGCCCTGGCGAAACCGCACCCGGAGTGCGTTGAGCTTTGGACATGGCAGTTGCGCCAGCCACATTGCTTCGTAGAGACCCGGCGCCGCAACATCGAGGTACTGCAGTTGGGTGCAGTGGCCTAGTCCCAGCGCTAGCTCGCGCTGAAAGTCTCCGTGGACTGTGGCATGTTGCAACTCGAGTTGCTTCAGCGACCCTAAGTGCGGCAACATCTCGAGGAAGCGCACAGGCCAGACGTCGGGCTCCACGCCAGACAGCGGCATGCACAGCGACGTGAGGCGTCCGAGGCACGGTTGGAGCAACCGATCATTGGCGACGTGCACGAGCAGACGTTCTTCAACGTGCGTCAGTCGCTGGGTGTTCAGTAGCATCGTCCGGAAGCGGGCAATATCAGCGGCCGAGCCGTCTTGGAACACTAGGCACTGCTCGGGACTAACGGTGTCGGCGGAACGCAAAGTGTGGGCAACGACCTTGAAGCGCATGTCCTGCTCGACGTTGACGCGACGTGAATTGCGTGGTAACCGCTGCTTCCATAAAGCACGCGTGAACATCGTGAGTGTTTTGAGAGGCGTCGAGGTTGAGGCTGTCATTTTTGAGGACGAGGTCGTGGAGGCTGTCGCAGGACGCAATGGCCTCGCACAACCGACGCACGTCCTCGATGGACGCGTTGTTGAACGTCGTGTCGACGAGGTGGAGGCGTCGGCAGCGCCCTTGCGCCAGCATTGCAGCGACAGCCGATGCAACAGAGGCGGGATATTGCCCGCGCATTGTGAGCTCCGTGAGCTGGCCGAGCGGCATATGGGCAAAGATCTCCGCTATTGCAGCAAAATCCTTCGTGGCTTCGGCACGCAACGTGGTGACCATGCGCAGGCGAGGACACGCGGCAAGGGCGCTGCCGAGCGCCGCGGCGTCGGATACCTGTACACTGCAGAAGTCGACGTGGTGAAGGACACGTTGGTTCTTGAAGCAGCGCAACACTATTGGCTTGAGCACCCATGGCTACGATGGCGCCGAGAGCATCGATGTTTGCAAGGTGCTGCTTGGTAGCTTCGCTTGTCGTTCCGAGTACACTGATGCGGGGCCATGCGACGTGCACCGTTGGCGTCGAGCACAAGGCGCTGAGCGCAGCTATCCCCGGCGACATCGCAGCTGGTGGAAGCGCGCCAGCGAGCTCGAGAAGCGTTGGTCCGTGCTGAACAAAGGTTGCGATGTGCTGCAGGAGCTCGGGCGTCGAACCCACGGCCTCCGGGTTGCCTCGTGGTCGAGACATGGTGTGGGCACTTTGAGTTTGGGTTGAAGGCACAATCAGCGCGCGAGAATGCGTTGCAATGATGGGTTTGGTCGGTGTGACACCGTACTAGCGTTTTATAACCGACAACAAGGCAAGTTCCCTCAGGTTTGTGAGAGCAAGAACTTGGGCGCCACGACTCCGACCACTCCAAGCAGATCGAGCACATACCGTACCGCGCGAACGGTTCGTCCCTCAGATGGCGTGAGGCCAGATGAGGAGCGCTGTGACAGGTACATTGCACTTGTCGATGCTTAGACCAGCGCGATCTATGCAGTAAGTTCTTAGACCACGATAGGACGCGAGCCGGTGGCGGACACTTTATGGCCGCGTGGATTATATATATATATATATATATATGCTGGCAAGATTGCTCCGAAAACATTAGATAGCAATATCGAATGAATGTATTCACCTGCCTTGCGAACGTCCGTGGCTATGACAATACGCCAGGAGCGAGTCTTTGCCAGTGGATATACAAAGATGTTGTCAAGTGCTCGTTAATCTCGACTGCTCTATGGTGTTAGCTGTCACGCTGGTCGTGCTCTGCATTATCGACAGTGCGGTCGCGACGGCGTAAGCTTTGCCGAGGAGCGCAGTTTAGTTTTGCAAACGAAAACAACGTAATTGTTGTAGCGGAGCGCTGGGCAAAGTCACCCAACCACTACCAGCTACTCTTGCGCGGCTGGTATCACGTACGGGCCGCTCCCGTGCGTTTTCAGAGGCGGCTGAGCAAGCTACCGAAGCCTCCCAAGCCCAGTATCTTTGAGGCTGGTCGACGACCAAGGCAACAACGTGCTGGTGTCAGTTGCGCGGACCGCGGTGCAAACTTGGGGTGAAAATAGTATCTTTGTGGTTGATGCAAGATCGCAGTTGATAGCTATAGATCGCGTATCAAGTTGATATGAACGGGAACCATTGAAATGCGATCAATGGTGCCTCCCATGCTCAACGTCGCGGTCTTGTTAAAGCTCATCGGGCAATGAAACTCTCAAAATCTCATTTCTTGCTCAACACGCACCACCCAACACACGATGCCTTCTTTGCCGACTTCAACGAGCACGACTCTGGTGCTGCCCCCGCACGAGTCTTTCGGTCTCGTGCTCACACCCCCTACATCGGGCGTCGTCAAAGATGGTCTTATCGTCGAGGACGTCACGAATCCTCGCTTGAAATACCAAGTGAAGGCCAACGACGTAGTTGCTGCCATCAACGGTGTCCCGTTCCACGGACTCCGATGGGACCAGGCCGTCAAAATCATCCAAACAACACCACGACCGTATGCGCTGACCTTTCTGCATTCACTCTCCTCGCCGCTCTTCACACCAGCGAAGCGCGAGCCGCCGTCGTACGTAGCTGTCGTCGAGCGCGGCGTGCAGTTTGCCGACGCAGCCATGCACGGTATTAACGGCGCTGTTGTCCACCACCTCACACCCGAGGCCAAGGCCGACGGAATCCTCGCAACAGGCGATGTCCTCTACAAGGTGGGCGAGATCAATGTGCTCTTCCGGCCGTATTCGGTGGTCATGGGCATCGTTGCCAAGGCTGCCCGTCCAAACGTCCTGCAATTCATCCCTCACGCCTTGGTCGCCGACACGGTGCGCTCGACGCTGCCGGCGAGAGCTCGTGTGCAGCTAGCCAATTTGAAACGCGATGCGATGCCCGAGGTCGTGTCCGACTTGGCCAGTTTTCACCAGATACATGGGTCGCTCAAGGAGTGCCAACTGCGCCGCTCAGACGTCAAGACGTCCTCAAGTAATCGCTGCCGCGTAGACGGCGCTACCGTCGTGCCGCCTCCGTACTGAATAAACCATGCTCCACACCACGCTTCCACCGCCATCCATCACATTGCATGCGTCGCTTCTTGTCCCTAAATGAGCCCATCGCGGCTAGGGGTAGGTGATTCCCGTTTCAACATAAACCGAGAACCTGCCGTCTTGTGTACGCATTCGCTTCAATAGCTGTAGAGGCATTGACCACCACGACCTTCGCTATCTTCGTCCAGCGTCTCGTTGGGTGTTGGTGGTGCACCTAACTCGAGGTGGTGCCACGTCATTGCGATCCTGGATGCGGCGAGCGTGCCACGCATTCGCAAACCGACCACAGCACTGACGGCTTGACCATTAGCATTAATGACCAGCTTGTCGATCATCTGTCTGCGTGGCCATGACACCGTGTCAATCGAGGCTATTTGCGGTCCTCTTGTTTCCGGTGCAAAGAGAGCACTGTCAACGCGTTTATGCTGAAACTAGCTTGCATTCCAACCACGTGGAACAGTTGGGCGACGTAGCCACGCACACCACTGTATTGATAGCAAGGTGAGCCCATTTTGTTCCAGCACGTAAATGAGTTGCCCCGAGCAACTCAGAGTCTACGTGCTGGAACAAAATTTAGAGTTCGACTCCAAAAAAGTTGCGAGCGTTGCCTCCGCGAGGGATTCTGACAGGGTTACGGCATGACTATTTCTTGAGGAGGAAACCGGGTCGTCGCACATTTTGGAGAATCACCTCTTAAACAAAGGTTCATAACAAAGACGCATGCATCGTGACGGTCGCTACACTTCCTGGCCACTGGGATAAGTCGATTCCTACCCGTGTCAGTATAGTACATTGACACTGGATGACGAACAATATTGAAATTTTGAGCTCTTGCCAGGAGCTCTGTCCACTTGCAGAGTTGGACGGACGACAGCTCAAACGCGCGGTCGCGTTGGACAGTTGGCGCTACAGCGTCCCATTGGCCAAAAATCGGGAATCGCAAACGAACAGCGTGTGATGGGTGGATACATATGGTGTTCGCAGACGCTGCCCCTGGCGGCGTTGCGAGTCATAACGAAATTTCCACCATCCCGATGAAGCTCACAGTGCTCACGACGCTCGCTGTCTGCGCCATGGCCGCCAACTTGAAGACGCCGATCCCGGCCAAATTCACCGTCAGCTGCTCGACAGAGGAGAACGCGATTCTCAAACAGCTCCAGTCCACGAGCACGTACGTGCAGTGCGTCAAGGACGGGCCAACGTCGGTGGACGACATTTGCGCCGTCCATTCGTGCGTCGACGCCGCCCAAAACTTGGTCGGCAAGGTCCCCAACTGCATCTCGAACACCTCGGCGCTGATCCTCGATGTTGAGTTATACGTCCTCAATTGCGGCGTCGACCGGAACCTCATCGTGCCGACCAACCACACCGACTCCAACGCCACAACGGTGCCCATTGTGACCGTCCCAGCCAATACGATCACTCCAGAGCCCAAAAAAGCGGCGCCGTCGGCGGCCATCGCCAACTCGGCCTCACTCCTTGCGATGGGCGCAGTGATCTACGCCATGGCGTAAATGCTGAATCAAGAAGGCGCTACGTAGATCAGCGCTCGCAAGGGCCTGTCGTGCTCATGGCTAGGAGACATATGGATCAGTGCAAGCGGCCTCCGTATCATATCAAAATGATATTTTTTCTATCGCAAAGTTAAACTACGATCGTTGAAACTCGGCATTCTGTGCACCTTGGATTTAGCGCATACTAGTACATGTATGTAGCAGCTGACTAGGAATATCGCAGTTCGTATACGTTTCGCAAAATGTTACGATTTTATTGGGCGATTGAGTGCACAAAGGGTTCAACATCTCACAACGTACTTAGTAATATCATACTAGTACAACTGTACTAGTTCTAGTCTACAGCAATTTGTCAAATCTGTGCCCCGAGGTATAGGACTGGGCTTCTTTCCATAAAACATCAGCCACGGCGACCAAGTATTGGCCTTTAGATGCGCGACTGGCCGCAGAGGACTGGTCTCGTTTGCCGAAATCAAAGGTGTTGTGCCTTCAAGACTGCAAGATGCAGTTTTAGCAGGTTTAGCACCTTCTAGACTTCATTAATTGCGATCGGAATAGTGTGCTCGGCTCCAGCCGTGAACTGGCAGCGCAAGATCGGTCGCAGTGTCTTTCCTTGTGCTCGACTTTGCCGTCTTCAGTGTTGCTACTACGTCAACATCGTCTTGTTTTGTTGTCTGGGCTTGCGCAACAGCACAAGACGTTCGATACCACTTCGTTTCCAACAGCGCTGCAGGTCCGCTCAGTTCGCTTCACTGAGTGCGGTCGCGGCGGGCGAGGTTGCATCACCAGAACAGCTAAAATCTCAATTCAAAAAGGGTGCATCCAGCGGCCAAAGACGTCCCATGCCTGCAGTGTTCCCATCAGGCGCGGGGCAAACGAGGCACGTTTGGTCGGTCCTCTCGAGCCCGTGCAGATGGCCTCGGAGCGTGATCGCACCGCTGGTTTCGGACTGCAGAAAAGACGTGTTCCACGCCCAATCAAGGGTCCTGTGGTCCGACGCAAACACCGCTGACCGTGCTCCCATCTGTCAATGACGCCAGGGGCCAGCGTTATGATAGTGTCGCCGGAACCAGCTTTGCGATCCAAGTCCTCAGTGTCCCATGCTTTCGAATCGTCCAATCACGTGCTATTCCGACCCTAAAACAGCTGGTACAACAAGCAAATGCATGGTGGCGACAGCTTCGATGTCCAGTCGAGTGCGCTCGCGTTCGCCACTTGGGCAGAAGAAGCATGACGAGTGCCACCCGCCTTCGACTCGTGGGATCCTGCGGCCTCCCCCTCCACGACAAGTTCAAGGCTCAAAGCGTCACACTCGAGCTACCGCCCGGCCGCGCGCTTGGGCTTGTCCTCGCAGCACCCACGTCAGGCATCATTGCGCACGGTCTTGTCATTCTCGATGTCAGCAACTCACACTTGGTGGGCCACGTTGCGCCGAGCGACCGCCTCGTTGCGATCGGTGGCTGCCCTGTGGACGGGCTCGGGTTTGCCGCTGCGTCCGAGCGCCTTGGCTTGCTGCCTCGACCCCTCGCGCTTACATTTGAAAGCACCATCATTGGGCGCGAGCTCGCCCGACTGGCGCCACCACAGTCAAAGAGAGAGCCGCCGTCGTACGCTGTCGTCGTCGACGCGGGGGTGCACTGGACAGCCGGCAGCCACGGCGCTGTCGTGAATCGCCTCACGGGCCAGGCCAAGGCTGACGGGATCATCAGCGTCGGCGACGTACTGTACAAGGTGCACGAGACAATCGTGCTCCATCGATCGTACGAAGCAGTGATGTCCCTTCTGCGTCGAGCGCCGTCCCCGTGCACATTGCACTTTGTGCCGCATGCTCACATTCATGCTCTCGATGCTCTGGCAGCGCTCGCAGCTCCAGCCTTGCCGAGCCTCGAGCCCCGGCTCACTGAGGCCAGCACCAGCAACAGCGATGAGGCCGCTCGGCGAAAGTCGGACGATGTTGGTGTTCTCAAGCAAGGACCGCTGCATCAGCAAAGCGGGCTGTTCAAGCGTTGGACCCCGGTGCACGTCGTATTGACGCCGACTGCACTTCGCTGTTTTCAGCACCATACGTCCAACTCGCCTCGCGCCGAGCTCGTGTTTGTGGGACACCGGTGCACGGTGCAGCGTCTGCCCGCGACGGGCACCCTCTACCCCTTTGTCGTCCGCGTCGGTGCCAAGCAGCTACAACTCGCGTGCGCTGAGGACGACGAACGGCGCTCGTGGATGCGGATGTTGCAGCAAGCGATGGTGGACGCGGGCTTCGCGGCGCGGCCATCGGCCGCTCTCGGCACCGCGAACGACCTTCCAGGCCCACCCTCAGCGTTGCGTGTGACGGTGCTCTCAGCCACCAACTTGCTGCCTGCTGGCCAAACGGTATAACTCCATATTTCTATTGGGACAAGGTAGACTCGTCAACTAGGTACATGCCGTCTGTCGCTTGTCGCTTCAGACCCAGACGTTTTCGACCAAAGTTGTTCGCGGCGACCGATCACCAATGTGGTACCAAGACAATGTGACTACGTTTCACGACGTTGAGCCGGACGGCGTGCTTGGGGTGTGTGTCTTTGACGACCGACGAGGGCGCCCGCCGCGTCTTCTGTCAACGCTGCAAGTGCCGCTGTCGACGCTACCGCAGCAGCGCAAGACGGTGTGCGCCTACGATTTGGTGGGCGCCACGATCGGCACCAAGCTCACCCTTGCGTATGAATATCTCTCAAGCCCCTAAATTGTCAGTTTTCTGCAAATATTGTTGAATCTTTGAACGACACCTTGTGGTATTCTCAATTTTCTTCTTTCAGTCGTATTCTAGTGGCTCATTGATAGTCGACGAACCAACTCTGGAACCTGCCATTTCGTTTTCGAGGCCAAAATGGTGGCCTAGGGCTAGGGTTTCAGAGCTGGCACACTTAGAGCCCGCTTCTTTCGCTGCATCATTCCAGCCAACCGTCCCAGCCATAGCTCTTGAGCATCCCATAAACACATTGTCATTCATACCATTGAAAACAACAAAGTTTTGGTCTTACGAGACGTGCAGCTGCAGCCTGGTCCAGTTAGGCGGCGCAAAAGCTGGTCTGGGCAATGTTGAGAATCGAAAAGAGGTAGCCGAGAAGACCGCCCACGACGATGCCGACAGGCGCCGGCACCTTGAAGACGCCGACAAGTAGTCCGGTCGCAAGGCACACGGCGGCCGACGCATTGTTGTGCACAGCGTGCTGCCACAGCAGCGCAATGGCGGCGACCACGAGCCCGATCGCGGCCGAGTTGACGCCGGCCATAAACACCTGGAGCTTCTCATGGCGACGCACCTTCTCCCAGAGCGGCAGCACGGCAAAGAAGAGCCCAACGCCAGGGCCAAAGAGACCCGCAGCGGCCAAGAAGGCACCGGGCACACCGAGCGCGACCGCACCTACATTGACTCATGAGCTTCTCTGGCCTTCGATAAGATAAGGATACCCAAGTACGTCGACATGTTGAACATGGGGCCGGGCAGTGCCTGGATGAGGGCAAAGCCGATGAAGAACTGCTCCTTGGAGACCCAGCCAGCGCTGACGATGTCGTTGAGGAGCATCGGAAGCATGACCTGGCCACCGCCAAAGATGATCGAGCCCATGCGGAAGAAGGCGTAGAAGAGCCCGAGGTAGCTGCGGCCAAGCGACCCCTAGTACCATCCATGTTTACAAGTGCTGAGGATGGAATGGCAAGTAAGCTTACCGTCGAATCAAAGTAGGCGAGGAGACCAAAGGCAGCGAGCCAGCCGAGAATGAGAAGGACGCCGGCCCACGCAGGAATCCCGAGCTCCCTAGACAGACGCTATTGCTTTGAAAGGAGGAGGCGCGGCATACCGTTCAAAGTGGGGGCTGTGGCCATTGTCAGTACGCTTCGAAGTCACGAGCGGGTTGGGGTAGCCCAGTGCCATCGCCGAAAGCGTCGTGAGGCCGCCGGCAATCATGAGCAGCGGGAAGATCCACGTGCCAAGGCCCTGCGTCGCCAGCACGACGCAGCTCGAGATCGCAGCGATCGACATCTTGAGCTGGTCGTCGCCGCACGCCTTTTGCCAGAGCTTGGTCGCGGCGATGATGACAAGCGAGACCGCGGCCGGCGCCAGCCCCACCATCCACAATGGGACGCCATCTACATGGGACACTGCATGAGCCAGCGCATTCCTGGATATCGTCTCAGACCGCCAAGGTATTCTTGCGCGCCCAGGCCGGCGAGAAGCATGACGAGAAACCCAGGCGCCGTCCAGACGAGGAAGGCGAGGAGGCCACCGAGCGGCCCGGCGCGGAAGATGCCCATCGAGGCGAGGACCTGCGTGGACGTCGGGCCGGGCAGCGCCGAGCCAAGCGCGATGACCTCGAGGAAGCGCTCGTCGTCGAGCCATTGCAGCTTGTCTAGAGCTCCGTCGTCAGCCCCAGGAAGCAAGCAAAGGGCGATGTACCGACAAAGCGCTCGTGGGCGAGCCCGAGATGCGCCTGCGGCCCGCCAAACGAGAAGAGCGCGACGGGCAGCATCTGCACGGGCACCGAGAGCAGCCGCTTCCAGTACGGCTCCACGGGCCACGCACCGCTGTCCTTGACCAAGAGCGACGTCGCTTCGTTCGCCATGCCAATCTCAAGATCGGAAATGAGTTGTGGTCGGTGCAAACTCACGTCACGTAACGGCCTCTTGTGTGAAGAGTGGGACGACGAGGAATCTTGAGATTCGAAAAAATAAATTTTGGGGCATTAGCCTAGTGAACCCTGGCAAGCGAACCCGGGGTCCTCAGCGATGGCGCTTAGCAGGGTGAGAGGTGGCGTCCAACGCCAAGCTCGTCGACCCCAGCGTGTCGAAAGCTTCACGACGGCTCACGATGCCACTCCATAATGAGTGAAGCTAGATTCCACCGCATGGCTGCGATGCACGGTGGTACCGGTATGTAGAAGACCCGCGCGTGCATCGCGCTCCTGCTGCCACCTCCTCGCGATGTTCCCGGAGATCGCTGTCCAGACGTTATCCGGATCAAGATCGAGCGCGACGAGCCTCCTTGATGGCGCAATTTTCCCGCCAAAAGCTGCGATGAGGCGTCATAGGTCTTTTCAAAAGAAATTGACATGGCACAAAACACCGCCGTCCCATCCTTGTCATGGCGATGCTAGAGGTGTGAAAATGTCATCTTCTTGACGTCGTTCGTTCATTGTCATCCTCGCGGGATGTACTAGTATAATGACACTATACTAGTGCGATCTGGCAAATACAACCTTCAGCAAAGACGTGGGATGTGGTCTTAGACGGCAAGGGCGTTGGTGACGATCACAACACGCGCCTCGACGCTCTTGCGATGCGCCGATGCACTCTCTTTGACGCGCGGATCACGAAACGACGTGTGCGGACTGCGCGTCGGCGTTGCCGAGTCAAAATTTTGGATCCAAAGCGCTTCGTGCGGCTGCATACCGCTCCAGTACCACCAGCGCAGCGCGTCCGAGAGCTCGTCGTCTTGCACGAGCGCCATGGCGCCGACGTACCCGCTTGGAAACAGTGTCGCGCACGAGAGGAGCCGCGACTCGGGGCACGACGCCGACTCGGCGAGCGCCAAAGGCCAGTCCAGAACGACTGGCACGAGCGGCTGCCATACACTCAAGATGCGCAGCCGTAGCGTGCCGTTTTGAACCAAGTCGCGTAGCTCTGGCGGCAATTGGGCCGTGTACATGGCACCCGTCGCCGGCGTCTGGTCGACGTGCACCAGCGGCGACGGTCGTCGTTTCGCGCCTAGATGTTGGGTCTGTTCTCGTCTTGCAATGACGCAGTTGTACCTTGTTTCGCTTCACTGGCGTCAGCGCTGCGAAAGATGACGGTAAAGACATCCATGTACACGATCTCCTCGGACGGTCGCCACTTGGCCGCGAGAAGGGCCTCGACATGGTCCTTGACGATGCTCTCTTTCCCACGCGTCTCTAGCTGTCCATGAGCATCGAGAAGGGCGGGCAAAAGCGGCGGCGCGTCCAAAATGGCTTGAAAACCGTGCTCGTCGAGGGTGCACGCTGCCTCGTGGCCCCGCAAGTCGTGGAGCTCGACGACCCGCGGCACGCTCTCCACGTTGGAAGGCACTGCTGGCGTTTGAGATTGAGATTGAGATTGCGATTTGCCGCCAAATGAAGAAAACGGCGGCGCGCCGTCCGAGGTGCGCGCAAAGAAGAAGACGGGCGCTGCCACCGGCCCGCGTGGAGCGGCTTGCATCGAAGTTCTGTCGTGGGGTTGACGCTCGTATCCGGAAACACATTATCCGGAAAGATCCCAAGAGCGTCCGCTTGCAGTGTTCTGATATTCAGTCTCGTTCGCGGTCCAGGGCAATAAAGGACGTATGAAGGGATGACAAGTCGCCACCTCACAAGGCTATCGCACCTCGAAGCGGTCCGTCAGAAGTACTGGCGAGTGGTCATGAGGAGAAATCGGTGCAATTTTGCAGTGTTATATATGGGTCCGTGTTGCCATCGAATAAAGCACAGGTGATGATAACGTCTCGACAGCGTCGAACCAGAAGGGTCGACGGAGAACGTGCTGCACAGTGTTGTCGGCATTGGCCAAGTACATGATCATTGCACATCGCAAGACTCGGATATCGACCAGTGTTCGCAAACATGTTTTGTGTTGGGACGCAGCGCCTGTCGATGCAGTGTATCGGGAAACTGGCACGACCAGCACGTAGTATATAGTATGAGTGTAAAACGAATCAGGGCGATTATTGCACGCGTACTGTACGTAGCTACAGCAACGTACTACATTCGCGATGAGCTACATTCGCGACGGCGAGATCAATACCTCGGGGGCGTCGTCACGAGCCTAAATTTTGAATCGGCTGCAAAGCTCTAGCATCGCCCTGCGACCAAAGTGGCTTTCGTCGCGCTTCGTTTCCGTCGAGCTTATTTTTCATTTATCTTTGACCAACATGGTAGCCATCGCACAGATCCCGCCATCGACGACAACGGCCGAGCCCGTGCACGCAACGCTCACGCTGTCCAACGAGGAGCTCCTTCATTACTCTACGTACGGTCCCGCGACGGCGGCCAAGACATTTGTGCTTTTGCACGGCGCACCCGGGGCGTACACGGACTTCAAGTACCTCTCCCCACTCCTCGTGACGGAGCCGGACACGAATGCGATCGTGTTTGATCTGCCGGGAAGCGGCCGCACGAGTATGGACACAGCCGGCGGCCTCGCTTCGTTCAACTCGACGGGTATCGCAGAGGCCGTCATCGACGCGTGGCCGCGCCTTTCGTTGTCGCGGGCATTTCTCATTGGACATTCGATGGGCGGGCAGACCGCGCTGCTTGTGGCCGCGAGCTCCGCGGTGGCGCCAACGCTGTGTGGTCTTGCGCTCCTCAACCCCGCAGGCTTTGGCCCCCACCACGTGTCACGACCGCTCTTTTTGGCCAAGATCTGGGCTTGCGCGCTGCGTTTTCTTGGCGACGGCGATCACTTTTTGCAGCGCTGGACCCACAGCTTTTACCTCAACACGCTCCGGTTTCCAAAGACGACACTGCCATCGTCGTGCGTCGCGGCCATTCTGCACGTCTCGTCGCCCGACTATGCGCGCATTGAGTCGTCGGCGCGGGTGATTCAAAGCCGCGGTCTCTCGACGTTCATGGCGCTTGCCTCCGACGACCGCATCGTTGAGGTTGCTATCGGCCACGAAGTTGCCGACGTCTTAAAACCGAGTGTGTTGAAGGAATACCCTACGGGTGGACACAACATACAAAAGACGCAGGCCGCGGATCTTGGTCTGTCCATTCTTGCGTGGAGCAACCATGATGGCAAGCTATGAAGCTGCTACACTTGGTCAACTGAGAGTTAGGCCATATATCTGCTAATTCTACTATGTCCCCTGCCACTTGTTCGTGAACTTGAAGCTGCAAATCAGTGTACTTATTACTAGAAGAAACTGCCAGTGAAAAAATGAAACTGTCACTCGATCAATGACGTGGCAGCCGGATTTTGCAGATAGTCACTTGGTTAACAAGCCAGCACTTTGACCACCATAGCGACACGGAATTCCACGTAACAATGTACACTTCGATTGTCGAGTTGTTCCCGAGTTGATGACTGAACATGGCACTGTGGTGACTCCACCTCGTACCCACGAAAACGTTGTCACGACGAAACTCGATGCCGGTCGGATAGACTTGGGCTTGGACCTGTCTTTTCACTCCCAGAACGTGCTGGGTTCTAGCTCTGGGTTCTACAAACACTCAATCTGAGCGTGTAGTTGCACGTCGACGGTTCTGCGTTGGATGTTTCGTACCAACCTTGACGTTATACCAGCCATTGCCAAACCCAATGACGAAACCAATAGATTCGATGATCCGATGACTATTATAGTCACCGTCAACCACTAGATTTGAAACCACCCGATCACATCACTGGCATTGCGATTTGAGCTGGACCTCGAATTGCTCGCGAGTGTACCACCCGGTGATTACTCAGGACCATAGTAAACCCGTGTGACATGACGCTGTCGACAACCCTGTCAATACTTGACATTTGTATGCTGATCGATACGATCTGTGGACGCCATTTTCGAATTGGCCATGGAGACTGCACCCGAGCCCGTCCACGCGACGCTCACGCTGGCCAACAACGAGCTCGTGCACTACTGGACCCACGGCCCGTTGCGCGCGGCCAAGACGTTTGTGCTTCTTCACGGAGCCCCGGGGGCCAATACGGACTTCAAGTACCTCGCGCCGCTGCTGCTGGCCGAGCCCGACACCAACGTCATTGCGTTCGACTTGCCTGGGAGCGGCCAAACGAGCATTGCGGCGGCCGGCGGGATTGCTGGCTTTAGCTCGACGGCGATCGCGGACGCGGTCGTCGAGGCGCTGCCGCAGCTCGGTTTGAAGAACATGTTTCTGCTCGGTCATTCGATGGGCGGGCAAACGTCCATGCTCGTGGCCGCCAACCCGGCGCTCGCACCGACTCTTCGCGGCCTCGCGTTGCTCAACCCGACGGGCTTTAGCCCGCACCAAAGCTGCCGACCGTACGTGTTTGCCAAGCTCTGGGCCAGCGCGCTGCGGTACTTGGGCGACGGCCCCAACTTTCTCCAGGGCTGGACCCACTCCTTTTACCTCAAGTGGCTTGGGTTTCCCAAGTCGACGCCGCCGCTCGTGTGCGTTGCCGCCATGCTGCACGTCGCGTCGCCAGACTTTGAGCGAATCAAGGCGTCGGCCCACGCAATCAAAGGCCGCGGGGTGCCCACGTTCATGGCGCTTGCGGCCGACGACCGCATCATCGAGGTCTCGCTCGGGAAGGAAGTCGCGAGCGTTCTCGAGCCGAGCGTCCTGAAGGAGTATGCCAAAGGCGGTCACAACATTCAAAAGACGCAAGCCGCCGACCTTGGGCCGGCCCTCGTCGCATGGAGCCATCGGAGCATGCTCTAAACTCAAATATAGTGTGTGTGTATCGGTGTCGACGGTATCTATCGTAGCTCTAACAGCATATTGATCAGCCGTCTAGTACTTGCTACGACACCATTTTGCACTTACGGTCACACCAAGTGCAATTTGATATCTGACCAGCGAGACTTCGCGGCTCATTTGCAGCACCGTGGATCGCGATTGAATCACGGATTACCTCTCCAAATGGATATTGGACAACCGCCAAACTCGATATTATAGAAAGGCCAAGTCGACAACAATGCGACGCCCGGCCGCGGTCGTCTTGGCGCAGGCCGACCTCGTGCGCAGCATTGCAGCGTACCAAGATGGCATTCCGTATGCGATCTCGGCGCTGGACCACGTGTGGAAGACGACGGCGACCTTCCGTCGCGTGGGCTCGCTTGGCCTTGGCTTTCGGTTTGAGATCGCCGGCGTCGAGAGATCGCACGCGACGCTGCACCTTCACGCAGTCGACCACCGCTTCCCGATGCACTGGGCCATGCTGCATGGCCGCGACGACGACTGTATCGCGTGGGCTGCGCACTTTACGTCGACGCTGCTCGCCCTCGACGCCTTCCAGCCCTCGGCGGTGACGTGTGCAGCATGCTACGGGCGCGCGCGCGTCGTTCATTGGCTTTTGGACCACGGCTTTTACATGACGTCACAGTCGATCGTGCAGGCGGTGCTGTACGGCGACGTTGCGCTCGTGGCCTTGCTCTGCGAACGCGCACCGACGATGGTCCCAGCGCACGTTCTCGCGGCCGCCGCCGCTCGTGGGCACATGGAGGTCGCACGCTACCTGCACGCGCACTTCCCGCGGACGCTTCGGTCGGGTGGCGTCCTCAGCGCCGCCGTCACCGCGCCTACGAACGCGGAGGCCATGGTGTGCTTTGTCCACCGTGTGTTTCGTGGACTTCGCCCGACGGCGCGGGATATCTCCCTCGCGCTGTGCCAAGACAACCTACCACTGCTGTCAACAGTCCTGGACCTCTTTGATCCGCCCATAACGTCGAGTGACACGTATTTTGCACTGACACACGAGCACGCGCGCGACCACCCAGAGACGACGGCGCTTCTCATAAGACGTTGTGCCGCACTTGGCTTGCCCACCGCCCTGGCAAGCGTCAACATCGTCGATTCACACTAATACCATACTTGTTGATGGCGCGGAGCGAGACAGCTGCCATTCTGCGGTCGAACAGTCGAGACTCAGAGGGACGACGTCGCAGGGTGCGATCGGGACTCGGGTATAAAGTCGTTGAGGCGCATGCAAGCGAGAAGAGTTCCGTCTTGGAAAAAATCGATGTTCGCAGTGACATTGGAGTCTTTCTTTCATTTGGTCGCCAATGGTCTAAACTCTTGTTAACGTTAGGACATGTGTTGTCTTCTAGGCAATGTGACCGAAGTCATTAATGTCCAGCTGCAGCGCCTAGAGCCCATGATGAGCCTTCGCCAGCGCGCGCCGCTACCGGTACAAGTGGCAGGTCGTCCAGCCCCTACGTCTTGCCCACGATGGACCTTGACGGCTTCCACATCGACGCCGACTATTCTGGATCATTTGCACAAGCAAAGAGCAAAGTCTGTCGACAGAGTTTTTCAAAACGATTAGCAACTGGGTGGGCAATGTCTGCGCTGTGTACGCTAAGCTCAGCTGCGCTAAGCTCTAAGAATATCTTCATGTCCCATAGCAGCAGTCCCTTCCAAGGCCTCAGGCACATTGTTCCAGCGCTCGCGGTCGTCAGCCAGATGCAAGATCGCCTCGGTGTCGGGTCGGAGGCGACTTGGCGTTGGTGGTTGAAAGGCATCACGGGATATCGAACCATCCGTCGTCGCTTGGGCAGCACTGTACGCGACATTGAGGCCGAGGCGACGGCTGCGATCAAAGAGGAGCTGCATCGCTGGTGACCCCTGCTGCGTCCGGAGGGTGAGTTGCACCAAGGTAGACGCGTCTGCAGGATCGAGCATCGATAGAACGACATCGAGAATGTCGACGTTATGACTGTAGGCGTCCTTGAGCAGGTCGGCTTGGCTAGGACGTGCACCAACGTGGTCATACACAAAGCGCAGCATCGGCACCGATGCTGATCGTATCGCAAAGTGAAAACGGACGACCTCTTGCACAGCAGTCGGGAACGCAGCATGGAGGTACTGCAAGAGGTCGAGGCGCCCGATGACCGTGGCCAAGGTAGTGCAGTCGGCGTCAACACGACGTGCACCGTGATCCATCGCTATGATCGCCAAGCCCACCTTCCGATCCTTCCATCTCCTCGCACGTCCCTTATTGCTCGCCGCATTGCAGAACGGCGCCGGCAAGATTGCCGGGTCCGTAGTCGTAAACTATGGCTCGCAGCTTATCTCGCCATATCTCCAGAAGCAGAACGCGCCGTTGACGGAGACGCCGTGCATCTAACCGAGCAATACGATGAGCGTCGACTGCCCAAGGTACAGTTCTTCGCGGCGACGCGCGGTGGACGGCCCTGGCGCCCAAGCTCGCTCTTGGCGTTGCTGCGTCGCGCAAACTCTTGCAAGACTTGATCGAGTCCTTCCGGTGCCGTTTGAGGTGGACACGGTGCAGCGCGCGGCGTCTCTCGTGGGCCAGGCGACGGCGACACAAGGGATGCGGTACGTTACCTGATGCATGGCGAAAGTGAAAATGAACCATCCGGAATTATTTTGTCTTTTTCGAGCGCCGTGAGCCATTCGCCATACAAACACCAAGATAATGCGATCTGGCGATCCGATGCACACTGGATCGCGTACGCGCGCTTTTTGGAGGCGTACGCGGACTGGATACATCTGGACAGCATATTTTTAATCACTTTTTTAGGGCACAAAACGAAAAAAAAATATATCTAGATTTGCAAATAAAGGTGTTTTGGAAGGCTTCCAATGGCGTCCGGAATCCTCTGCGGCGTCGACTCACAAATGTGTCGAATCAAACCCAGATCGCCGCGCTTGACAGCTTCTTGCACTGCCATCGAACTGACAGGAAAACCTTGGTCCAGCAACCACTTGACAACGATGGGACGGTCGTATCGGACTGCGCACGCGACCGACAATTCGTTGGACGCATCCAGCGCCACGAGCTCCGCCTTGAAAAACTCTCCCCACGCAAGGCACGCGTCGTCGTCGCCGACGCGCATTGCCCAGTGCCATGGAAAGCGTCTGTCGACGACGTCAAGATACAAGTCGCTGCCAGAGTGCACCGTCGACGAGCCGTCGATGGTAAAGTTAAAGCCCAGATTGAAGAAGCCGCCGGGTGCAAACGTGACTTGGTGCTTCCAGAAGGAGCTGAGGCGCGTGAGTGCAAGAGGAATACCATCTTGGTACGAGGCCATCACACGCACGAGGCCCGCTTGGCGCAGCGCCACGTCGACCGCCGTCATCAGCTGGGCTTTTTTGATTTTGCTGACTTTGCAAAGAGCATACATTTTGATAAAACATACACTCTTCATTGTCTTTTGACAGCAAAGTGGACAAGCGAAGTGCAACCGATCAAAAGATTGATATCGCTCCATTCAAGGGCAATGATTGAACGACCTTAATTTCCAAAAATTGGCTTTTGCTTTCTCTTTGTGTGGGCTATGGTGGAATTTGTTGAAATATCCTGCAAATGTTTCAAAAATTCGACCTCGCCACGTCCGGGGGTTCGGGGGTACCGACATCTGCACCATGGATCATGGATATGGAAACTACTTGCATGAGAAAGAGGTTACTTGAAGCTCTCAATTCAGCATGTCCATGTTGGTGGGCCATAGAGTCACACGGCCAACTCCTTCGCAATCGTGATTACATGCCCAGCAAACGACGCGAACACACCCTTTTTTGTCAATTTCAGATTGCTCTTCTTTTGAAACGCGCCTGTTTGTCACGATGTGGCGGTTGCTCCGACCGACGCATTTCACATTCGTCACGATGGACGCCGACGCGACAACACCCGCCTCCGCCATCGTCTTGCGCCTGCCCGGGCTTCTCTGCGCCATCACATCCTTCCAAGACGGCCTCCCATCCGCGCTGCGTCCGATGGACCACTATTGGAAGACCGCCGTGCGCTTTAGCTACCACGATGGTCGCAACTTTGCCTTTACGGTCGCGGGCACAACGTACGACAGCAGCGAGCTGCTCTTGGAGAAGATCGACGTTCGTTTTCCATGCCGCCTGGCGATGCTTCAAGGTGACAACGATGCCTGCCTCGCATGGACCGCCAACTACAAGGCCGCGCTACTCGCCCTCGACGAGGCCTTTTCCACGACCGTGGCCTGCGCTGCTCGGCACAACCGCTTACGTGTCGTGCAATGGCTCATCAAGCACGGCTTCACAATCTCGTCGCAAGCCTTTGTCAACGCCGCCAAGGTCGGCAACCTGGACGTTATCGCGCTTCTCTGCGCCCACGCACCAGACGCCGTGCCACCGTTTGCAGTCGCGTGCGCCGCGTCGCGCGGCCACTTGCACGTCATCGAGTACCTCCACGCCCATTGCCCCCAAGCCTCTTGCGGCCCGGCCATCTACGGCGCGATCGTCGCACCATCCCACAATGTTGCAATTCTGCACTTTCTCCACACTACCTTCCACGTCCGCCCGACCGAGAACGACATTCTAGAGGCCGTCAACCGCAACGATATGAGCGTGCTCGCGGCTGTCCTCGACATGTGCGGACCCGAATTGGCGCTGCATCATGTTCAGCTGGCGCTGCGCCCGGCGACGTACCGGCAATTCCCAACCGCAGTCGCCTACGTCGTCGAACGCTGCCGCGCACAGGGTCTGCCCGTGGCGTTGCCGCCGCACCAAGACGCACCCGCCCCAGACGACGTGGAGTGGGACTGCATCGTCGATGATCTCTGCGACGTGCGCTACGAGTATGCCAACGTCGTACCGCAAGCGAGCGCGCGGTTCGGGACGTCGCCGCCGGTCGACGGGTCGCGCCTCGACTTTGTGCGGTGGCTCCTCGACCACGACTGCGAGATCTCGTCCAAGGCCATGGACATGGCAGCGTGGAGCGGCGCGATGGACATCGTCCGCTTCCTCCACGAAGAGCGCGACGAGGGCTGCTCGACGACGGCGCTCGACATGGCTGCGACCAACGGCGACTTGGACATGGTCACCTTCTTGCATACGCACCGGACCGAAGGCTGCACAAAGGCAGCGATGGACCGCGCGGCAGCAAATGGCCACTTGGACGTTGTCCGGTTTTTGCACGACGAACGCAACGAAGGCTGCTCGACGCACGCGATCGACTACGCGGTCTTTGGTGGCCATCTCGATGTTGTCGCGTTTTTGTCGACACACCGAAGCGAGGGCTTCACGGACGACGCAATGAACTGGTGCTACTCCAACACAATGCGCCAGTTGCTAAATGCGAATCTGCACCTGCGAAAGGAGAAACCTACCTTTGCAATACCAATCTTTGCGGGCCACAATGACGACGACGACCAAGACAACGATGGCAACTAGAGTCGCTTCAGAATAAATTATTGTCGTAATACAGCAAACCGAAGTGCAAGTTTGCAGTATCATCATAAGATCTAGTTTTATGATCGAGCAATAAGATCTCGCTATAAGATCTCGCTATAAGATCTCGCTGCAAGATCGAGTTCGAGAGCTCACCACGCTCACGGTAAGCACACATACGCCTTGTACGGTTTATGCATGAATGCGAATGTATAACGCGCCGCATGGGTAAATACATTGCAAAAGGACTGCACACCGTAAGCGGCTGAGGCCAAATGACTTCAATACGATATCAGAGCGCAAGCGTAGATAAAGAGGTACCTCCACGCGCAGCAAGAGAATTGAGTAGTTGCCGGCCCGACGCGATGAGTCAACAGTAGGCTAGATAGCCTTTTTGATTGTAGCTTGGTCGATTCTAACCCGCTGCTAGCATTGGCTGGCGGTCTATCGAATTTTCTATTGCACTATTCGAGCGTCATGCCAGGCGAAAGGAGGTGTTCCGCGCGATGGGACGCCAGAGTTGCTCATGTAATTGGCAGGAAGGGCACCAACGCGTTCGTTGCCCTAATCTTCACGGCCGACTCGACGAAGTATAAACACCGACACACAATTGTCATTTGAATGCAACAGGTTTTATTGCACAATATATGTCTTCTATCTAACGCTACCTGTACCTACAGAAGCGACTTGGCCCACGCGTTGATTTCCGCGCCAAGATCCGTGGCTTGTGTCTTGGGGATGTTGTGCCCGCCCTTTTCGTACGTCTTGACGGTTCTCGCCGCGAGCACGGCCGCGAGGTCGGCGCCAATATCGCACTCGATCACGCGGTCGTCCTTTGCAAAAGCCACGAACGCCGGGACCTTGCGCCGGGCGATGTCCTCGGCCTGGACGCGCAGCTGCGCATAGTCGGCCGTCACCATGCGGTAGAACGCGACGGAAAAGTCGTCGGTCGGAATATCGTTCGAGAACTTGAACTTGTCGACGTAAATCGATCGGTTCCAGTTGGTGAAGTAATCGGTCGCGTCGCCCGCGAGTCGCATGACGAGGCTAAAGTAATACTCGATGCGGGGCCGGGCGCGGCGCGGTGCGCGGAGCCCTGTCGGGTTGAGAAGCGCAATGCCCGCAAGCCGCGACGCGAGCGCCGGCGCCGACGCCACTTGCAGCGTCGCGTGGCCGCCCATCGAATGCCCCACGAGGATCATGCGCGAGAGCGGGAGCGATGAGAGCGCGGCGACGATGGTGCTGGCAATCGAGGCGGCGTCGACGTAGTACATGCCGCCGACAATCTCGACGCTCGTGCGGCCGTTGCCCGGGAGATCGAACGCGATCGCATTGACATCGTGGCCCGAGACGAGTAGCGGCGCCAGGTAGCTGAAGTCCTGGTATGTCCCGGGTGCGCCGTGTAAGAGAACGTAGGTGGTCGCGGCCGTGGGCGGGCCCCAGCGAGAGTAGTGCAGCGGGTGCAGGTTTTCGGGCAGCGTCCACGTTTCGTGCGTTGGCTCCATGATGGACACGTCAAAAGTTTGGAAATGAAATGTGCAATCTTGATTGTGGAGCGTGTAGACTGCAGCACGACCAAAAGACTAAGCGCGATTGGAAATCGCTTCGCGTTACAAAACGAGGTGCGGGCGCTTACTATGGAGCAATCCCACATGGCAGCGGGATGGAGGATGGCGGGTACAAACCTGCACGAGAGTACCGTGGCGAGGGCGGCGTGAACCGCGCATTCTTCGACACCCCGCATTCCCACTGCCGCATTTCTGCTCTTTTCGTCAAGAGCCACATACTGGTAGAGCTACCAAAGGCCGCGCTTGCGATGTGCGTGTGTCTTGATGAGAGACATATGTGACGTGGGGTTGTGAGGAGATATCCCTCGAATGTTGAAGTCGCACTGCCATCAACGGCAAGGACGTTTTCTCGAGACGACACAGACGGACACAATGACGCAGGAAGGGGCCTGCGTACTTCTCAATTGACGAAGACGCTGTCATTGTTTATAGCGTACGAGAAGAAGCCTGGGCGACAAAGCATAGTCTGTTGTGGAGTGTCCGAGGCACGGTTCAACTGGACTCGCATTTGACAGAAAGGGGTATCGGCCGTGTCACAGGCCAGTGCCACGTCACGGTGATCGCAGATTTGCATCACTGCAGTTGATTACAGTTTGTTGCGGTATCATAGTCACAACCTTCTGAATGATATGTCATTTCATTTTGACGCCAAGACCATCTTCTCCATGGCGCAGGTTCGCACGACGTGGGATGTCGGGCGGCTGCAAAGGCCAAAGGCAGACTGCGAAACAGCGTTGAGCGTCATTAAGACTGCAAACGAAACGTCTTCTCAAGAATACTAGTCGACCAGAAGATTATAAATCGATACGACTAGAGGCGAGACATGGGCTGCCGCAGCACAACGTCCTTTGTCCACGCGCGAAGCTTGTGCGCGAGATCGGCGGCTTGCGTCTTTTGAAGATGATGGCCACCGTTTGCATACTCCTTGATGACTTGTGCGCGCAGTGCCTCACCGAGTTCACGCCCAACCACGGCTTCGACGACGTGGTCATCAGTAGCGATCGCGACGAACGCCGGGAGCCGCCGGGCAACGACGGTCATCGCTGCCGTCTGAAGCGTATCGTAGTCGACCGAGGCGAGGCGGTAGACGGCGTTGGCGCAGTCGAATTCATGTGTCGCCTTTGGGAGCTTGAGTCCGTTGACGTGAATGTGGTGGTTCCAGCGCGTCATCGGGTTTGATCCCGGGCCCGCTAAACGTAGCGCCCACGCAAGCGCCGATTCGGTGATCGGCCAGCGCGCCTTGTGCGGGCGCAGGCCGGCGGGGTTGAGGAAGACTGCGCCTTTTAGCCACGGCTGCGTCGCGAGGCCCGCGGCGACTTCGAGGGTTGTGAGGCCGCCCATCGAGTGCCCAACGACAATGCAGTGGCGCAGCGAAAGAAGCTGCAGCGCATCGACCACAGCCGTCGCGAGGGATGTAGCCGTGAGCTTGCTGCTGCCGCCAACAACTTTGGCGCTGGTTCGACCGAACCCCGGGAGGTCGAACGAGAGGACGTTCGTGTCGTCGGCGACGAGGCGTGGCGCGAGGTACTTGAAGTCGCGCCACGTACCCGGCGAGCCGTGGAGGCAGACGTACGTTACGCTCGCTTCCGCTGGTCCGTAGCGAGAGTAGTGCATCGCGTGGCCGTTGGCCATCGGCACCGTCGCCTCGACCGGCTCCATCTCTGCCAAGTGATCCGTGCCTGATTCCCACGTGAAAAACGTGGGTGATTGACTTTGCACTTGAAATAGAAAGTGCAACCTCGTGTTTTACACATCATTTCACCTCCAAGATGCTGGTGATGACGACCACAATCATGCAACACGGACTATCTTCTGCGATGATAAAATTGTCTATTGCATTGTGATTCCGAGTCCCATTCTATTGTCGCTATGTAGACTACCTTACGCGCTGGAGATGGCCCATGACACCAGCGCTTGCGCGAGATCGGCATGGCCGCCCGCCGCGTACTCCTTGTGCACGCCCCGTACTCCTTGTGCACGCCCGACTAGAGTACGTCCTTGAGCTCGTCTCCAATCGCTTGCTCCACGAGGTGGTCGTCTCGGGCAATCGCGGTAAACGTTGGGACGCCGCGCTGCGCCGTCGCTTTCGCAAAGCCAGCGACCCGCTCAAAGTCCGTGGACCCGAACCGCTGAAAGCCAAACGTGAGGTCGTCAACGTTGGTGCTGCGCGGAAACTTGTACACGTGGAGGTACGTCCAGTGGTTGAGCTTGACGACGAGATTGCGCAGAAGGCCGGGTCGGGACAAGACGCCCGCGCCCGCCGCCATGACACCAAACGGCCGAATGGTTTGGTGCGGGCGGAGACCGGCAGCGTTCAGCAGTGCGAGACCGTGGACGCGCTTGACGCGCGCAGCTGCTTCCAGCGCCGTGTGCCTGCCGAACGAGTGCCCCAGCACAAACGTTCGCTGCAGAGAAAGGCCGTCGATGGCCTCGACGACGGCGTCAGCAATCGACGCGGCGCTCAAGCCTGCGAGGCCCCCCGCGGCGGCAGCAGGCGTGAGACCGTTGCCAGGGAGATCCAGCGCGATGACGTTGATGCGCTCGCGAACAAGAAGCGGCGCCAGATGCCGAAAGTCCTTGTGCGACCCTGGGGCGCCGTGGAGGAGGACGAACGTTGTCTCGGCGTCGGCGGGCCCATGCTTCGTGTAGTGCAGTGGGTGACCGTTCGTTAGGGTGTACGTCGCCTGGACCGAACCAAACGGCGGGCAGCTAACGGCCGCGGAGGAGAAGCGCCGGGCGATTCGGCGCGAAATCGCCATCCTGCGAGTGGCACAAGTGCGTTGTCGATTCGAGCGCACTTGAACGAGCATGATTTGCAATCGTTAGGTCCAACTTCAAGTTGTTCAAAGGGGCGTTAAAGCAGGTTAAACCCAAGTTCGTACCATCGGCAGTTCGGTAGTGTACCGAGGTGCGGGCTTTTGACGTCGAAATGCGCATTGCTGCATATATACATAGGGACGTATCGTAGGCTATTGTCGTTTCTGGCGTCCAACGTTTTCGCGTAAATGCGACGAGACGGTTGCTGAGCCGATGCTGCGAGCTGGAGTTTGCCTTGTGTAAAACGCATTTTAACGCAGGGCGTTGATTAGAAATAACCCATCCGCGACGGTGTTGACACAACACCCCAGTAAAGTCCGGTTCGTATTGAAGCGACTTTGAAGTTGGCAAAACGATGGCTCGGCTCCATCAAATCTCGCGCTTCGGTCGGCTTCTGCCGCACCACTCGGCGTGCTTCTCGACCGCCCCGTACGGCTCGCTCCAAGCTACCTACAGCCTCCAAAATGGCCACCCGCTACACTACACCACCCACGGTCCCGAGAACGCGGCGGCGACCTTCGTGCTCCTTCACGGCGCGCCGGGCTCGCACATGGACTTCAAGCACCTCGCGCCCTTGCTCGTGCGCGACAACGTCAACGTGCTCGCATTCGACTTGCCTGGGAACGGCCAAACGCCGGCGGCCGCGGCCGGTGGCATGGCGTCGCTGACGGCCGGTGCGCTTGCCGACGTCGTCGTTGAAGCCATCGACGGCCTCTCGCTGCAGCGGGCGTTCGTTCTGGGCCACTCGTGTGGTGGCCACACGGCGATCGAGGTTGCGGACCGCATCAAGCGAGTTGCTGGCATTGCGCTTCTCAACTCGATGGGGCTGCGGCCGCACCAAGCGATTCGGCCGTTCGCGCCGATCCAGTTTGGTGCCCAGAAGCTGCGGACCCCGGGCTTCCAGCGCGATGTGTGCGTCGCCATCAACCACTGGGTGTACATGAACATCTACAAGTTTCCCAAGCGAACGCCGCGCGATGACATGACGTATGCCTTTCAGCGCTCGGGGACCACCGACTTTGACAAGATCGGCCGCCACGTCGCGTCGCTCGGGCGGCGCAAGGTGCCGTCGCTCGTTGCGATCGCGCTCGACGACGTTCTCGTCGAGAAGGCCATTGGCCACGAGCTCGGCGCTCTCTTGCATCCTGGCGTCCGCCTCGACTACAACCGCGGTGGCCATAACATTCAAAAGACACAGTGCGGCGTGCTTGCCGAGGCCCTCCTGACGTGGGCGCAAGCCAGTGTGTAGAGAATAGAGGTAGTGCGGTATATAGACCTTGTAATACCTTTCGGAGAGACAACTTCAACTCGTGGTAAAAGCGGTATCAATGTTGAAAGACGGTTGGTCTTGTGACGCTTGCATCGAGCAGTTGAGAGAGACGGCAATATGTCCGGATAATACGCTCATTTCAGCCTGCCAGCTCACCGTCATCCGGATTTAGAAAACGAATCCAACGGGCATCACAACGGGCTCGTGGGCGTGGGCTGGTCGTGTCATTCTCCAACAAACCATGGCGGTGACAGACGACGTCAAGAAGGCGAAGAAGCGCCTTGCAGAGAAGAAGTACCGCGCTGCCAACGCAGAAAAAGAGCAGACCCGAAAGAAAACGTACCATGCAGCCAACAAGGAGAAGGTTGCGGTCCAGAAGAAGGCCTACTACGAGAAGAATCGTGCGCATTTGAGCGAGAAGAAGAAGGAAAATTACCAGAAGCACAAGGAAGTCCTCCAGGCCAAGTCCAAGTCGTGGCACTTGGCGAATCGGGCGTTCAGAAACGCATACGACCGAGCTTGGTACATTGTGCTTGCGTTGAAGTGGTTGTCTCATGTCTCTTCCTACTAGTCGGGCGCGAAAGAAGGCGATTGCAGCCGGCAAGATTCCCCCGCCGCTGCCCAAGCCCGCCGACTTTCGAGCGCAACACGAAGCCTCTGGCAGCGTCGCTCCTGCAACGTCGACGGATGCGGCCCCAGAACTCACTGAAGAAGACCCGCACCCCTTGGCCGCGAGACTGGCC